GGAGCAGGGAATAATTCCTGTGTCAACGTGACAGCAGCAACAGCAACTATCATGAAAAGGAGCAGACCATTGGTTCTGGGTCACCCAACAACTATGTGTCCCCTGCATGAAGTAGAACTGATTCTTAAAAGACATGCTACACAAACATTGTTCCCACAAAGAGCACATTGTTATGAATTAACAATTTTAAAAGCAGACAATATTACTTTGAAAAGATGCATTGTTTTGAATTCACCAAATCCCTCTGATGGTGAGTTGCATCATGATTGTACTGATGTAGTGTTTCACCCCAACCAACTAAAGGAAGATCTGTGAGATCAACCTCTAGACAACTTGTATCTAACCCTGTTCACCAATGGATCTTGATACTACGTGAATGGAAAATGACACTGTCATAGGTTTACTTATTCTAAAAAAAAAAATAAAAGTAAGAATTTTTTTCGTTATCAAATTTGCATGGGAATATGAAAACATCTGCCGGAAAATAAAGTACAAGCACAATGACTTCAACCAGTACCAGCAGGAATGCAAGTACATGATATCCAATCTGAGGATACAGTAATGATAAAAGTCTATTCTTGCAAAACAAAGTTGGACTATAACTGGGAGAGTCCATATACTGTGCTACTAACTTCTTCTTTTGTTTTTAAAGTTACAGGGAAAGACAATTGGATTCATCACTCACATGTTAAATGAATTTCTAAAGAATATCAGTTAAATTAATAACTGACACCTATGCAGAACCCCATCAGTCCTGCAGTATGGTTGGCTTTGGTTATTTTGTAACAATTGTGGTCCATGTCATCCTAGAAGGTGTGCTAATAATTGTTTTAAAGATAATTGGGAATATTGTTGACAGTTCAAATAAGGGAAGTATAACTAGGGAAGGTGCCTCTGGACACATAAAGTGGTGCTGTGCATGCAAACTACACCAGCCACTAAAAGTTAGAAGAGCTTTAAAACAATACAAGGTATTGATAATTTGAGAATAACATCCAGATGAAATACATTTGTTGTGCTCAGCCTGTTTAGCTCTAATTGTATATCCTTTATATTTATTATATATTGGACCTTGTAATATTGATACTCTTGACACTCCTTGGATCCTTTTTTAGTGATACTTTGTATATTCAGAATGGGTAGTGACCCTAATAGGCCAACCTCAGAACAGTTTACTTCCTGAGTTTCTTCCATTGCTTGACACTTTTTATTAATAGTACAGCAGCTAACTCTAATCTGGCTATTGCCTCCATACAAGCAATAGCAAACCAACTAAAATGGTGTTTCAAAACTGAATGGCTTTAGATTTATTGTCAGCCAGTCAAGGGAGTGTTTGTTCAGTTATTAATCTTGCTGTTCCTATGTCAAGAACACAGGCAAAGTGTTAACAAATGCTAACTGTTAGATTGTTAGTCTCCCATCTACACCCAGGCCCCTCAAAAGATTGGTGGGAAACACTGTTCAACCACTGGAGAACTAATTCTTGGTCATCAAGCTTATTAGCCACTCTTATTAAAATTCTACTTCCTGTAGTTGTTATGCTCTTATTGTTCTGTTGCCTTTTTCAAAATGTTCAGGCTTGTTTAATAAACATAATACTTAGAAGAATGCAGGGGTATAGACATACCCTTCTTGATGACCCTTTATAAGACAGGTGTGCCTATAAAAACAAAAGAGGAGACTATTGTGCAATTTGGTATGCTACTTATAAAGAACTTGTTTAGCATAACTTGCTTAGCATTAGTAGCTACATTTGCTGAAGCCTCAGGCTGCAAGCCTAGATACTCTGAACTTTTACCTAGTTTAGTAAAAGGAGGCCGAAGAGCCAGTTCACAATGAAAGATAAGGAAGCAAGGAAGGTCACTACCCCCATCAGCAGAAGCTGCATCGTCACAGATAAGAGAAGAAATGGCCTGTCTAGAGACAACTAAGAGAACCAATGAAGAACAAGAAGACCCCAGACCTAAATATTATTATTTGACAAAACTATGATGTGAGGGCTGAGAAATGTAGATTGTAAGGTATTTCTTTGTTCAGGGTCCGTCTGTGGAGGTACCCAGCTCAAACTGTTTCTACCACTGTACCACTCAAATAAATTACCTTTCAGGATTTAAAGCCTGAGACTGCTACAGGATGCCTAGGGTATAGAAGCATCATTAATAACATCATTGCCCAAGACAGGTAAAACTCCCTACAGGAGACAGATCTACCTTATTCTGAGTTGTTGTCAGGTATCCTTTCTTCATATTCAACATCTTGCAGTTCTATAGCTTGTACTTTAGAATTTCTTCTTTCATACCACATATCAAAAGCCACATAGGGGTCCTCAAATGGCCTGTGGTCAACTTCATAGTATTCCTTGTAGGATGGAAAGCTCCCTCCCCAGGAGTTGTGGTTGTGCACAACAGAGTGGACAGCAACAGTTACTGAAGCTGAGGCGGTCACAGTAGTGATAGGCTGGCAGTAAACTGGTTCTGAGCCACTCATGGCAACAAACACTGGGCTTCTCATGTTATAAGAACAAGCCTTGTGGTCCGAGCAACCCCTATTGCTAGGTCCTGAAAGCTGTTCAGCAGAAATTTCAAAAGCGTCCCTGCAATGACAGTAAGGAGGTGATTGCATCCCTTCCCTTGTTTCCCATTTTGGTTGTCTGCCCTGATGTTGTGAATGTTGAATGCCAGCCTCTGGATTTAATTGAATTCTGGGACTCAACTGATACCTTGTCTCTGGCTGAACCACCTGAAAGGGAGACACATGGTTATGCCTCTGACAAAGCAAGGTAAATATATACTGCACTTCCAACATACTGCTCCATCTTTTCAAAGGGATGGATAGCAAGCACTTGATCTTAACTTGTTCAATAAGCAGAATTGCAGGCATTTGTAAAAGGCTCCACCCAGGGTACATACACAGGCTATTAGTGGGGTACTTTGCACAGACTAGGAATCTGTTTCTTAATTTCTTTAAAAAGTGTGAAGCACAGCACCCACATCAGTCAATAAACTGCCCAACTTCAAGTGTTACTGTGCTTGTGCCTATTTTTAGGCCTCTGATGAACAAAAAGAGACCCACACTGCAACTCAACATGCAACACCATGGGTAGCAGGAGATGGAGTTTTTTCACTTTCTTTTGAAATTACAGTTATGCCATCTCATTAGCAAGATGGAACAGACCCAAGATTTGATATAATCCTGAAACTTGTTTCTTTTCTGGACTTTATCAGTCTTTCTCCCCAAGTGAGCTGCCCAGAGAAGAGGTATATGAGATGGTGATGCCCAGGGAGCTGTGTGGAAAAGGTTTGGATCTTTTAAACCTCTTCCCACTTTCTTTCCTGGAGGTCACCCACAGCAGTCATTGAATAGACTAAGATTTCTCTCTTGTGGCTGGTGCTAATATGATACAACAGCAATTACATATGCTGAAGACCTTAGCTTTGGTACCATAATTTTACCCTCGACTTGATTCTAAAGGAAAACCTTCACATCCTGTCTACAAGTGCTCCAAATTTTGGCACAGTCACAAAGCATAATCATCCAGAAACATGAAAGAAATATTATAGCCTTCCCACAGAAATATATTTAAATTTAAAAACCACAACCAAACAAAAATATTCTTGCCCTCCCTCCAGTCAACATGTGAGCTACTTACAGTGGATCTTGCAAAGACAGGATTCTCAGTGGCTTCCACTATTACTTGATGGACTGGTGCCCCAGAGCCTTGAATAGCCTCATACTGATGGAGTTCTTCACTGATGTTGGCATTTTGAGAGCTGGATTCAGAATCAGAGGAATCTGATCCACTATTTATATGCCTGAGTGGCAGTGCAAACCTCACGATGCTGGGGAGTGGCTCAGAAGATGGTAATTTATTTCGTCTACTGGCTGGAGAAACCTGATAATGACAGTGATAATTATAATTACAAGTATTACAATCATTCAATTAGCATTACCCTTATTATTAGTAGTAGTAGTACTTAAAAGAAAAATTCTTTAGCCAAATACACCTTTTCATGCCATGAGAACATAAGCACTAGTTTTCTTGTCAACACCTCTATTACACTAAAAAATGCATGAAAGAAAAAGAGACATGATCTGAAAGAAAAAGAGACATGATCTCCATCTCAGATGTATGCAAATAGGATTATACATATTTCTGTATGAATCATTGTCTCGATAAGTTCATATATGTACATGAACATGCACAATTATAAATATAGAAGGAATTCCTAGACTTGCCTTCCCCCTCAGCATATATTAATCATATAATCATTGAATGGTTTGGGTTGGAAGGGACCTAAAAGATCTTCTAGTTCCAAACCCTCTGCCATGGGAAGGAAACCTTCCACTAGGTCAGCTTACTCAGAGACCCATCCAATCTGGCCTTGAACACTTCCAGAGATGGGATGTCCACAACCTCTCTGGACAACCACCCTCACAGTAAAGAATTTCTTCCTAATATCTAATCTAAACCTACCCTCCTTCATCTTAAGGCCATTCCCCTTTGTCCTATCACTACACATCCTTGTAAAAAGTCCCTCTCCAGCCTTCTTGTAAGCCCCCTTCAGGTACTGAAAGGCTGCTATAAGGTGTCCCCATGATGGCAAAAAGGCACAAAAAAGAGTTAACAATGGTTCAGTTGGTATACCTTGTCCTGTTTGCTCTACCTGTTCTGCTAGAAGAACATTTTTGAAGCACTGGTTAATATCATGTTGTGTTCTGCTCACCAGACCAAAGTCCTTATTATAGAAAGAATAGGAGTAGTATACACAAGGTAATAAATTAGGTAAACTAGACATTTGAATAAGATATAGAAGGCTCAGAACCAGGATTTTGCAAGCTTGAAGAACTCAGGTCACCTAATTGAGGAGGTCAAATTGAGGATGAAGAAAATTGACCCCTGAAATGAGGAGGAAGGCCAGAATGGCCACTACCAAGAGAAGAATCTGGAAAGCACCACCCTAAGCTCTGCCTGGACTCCGCCTATTATCAATATGCATGATTAGATGTTGTAATCATATGAATATGTATGTTAAGATGTTGTAAGCATGGAGTTAGACTGTATAAATTAACCTGTTTGACATTGATGCCTTCAAGCAAGTTTGTCCAGTGCTAGTTGGCTTGCTCCCAACGTTGCCTAAATAAATACCTTGCTACCTAAAGATAAAAAAAAGTCTCTGAGCAGTTCACATTCCAAGGTTTTTCAGCATCACCCAAAGCCTTCTCTTCTCCAGGCTGAACATCCCCAACTCTCTCAGCCTGTCTTCGTAGGAAGATGCCTCAGCCCTCTGATCATCTTTGTGGCCCTAAGCCACATGATTTCATAAATAATATAAAATGTGTATATATGGTATGGTTCCATGTATAGTTGCAAAGAGAAATGGATACACATAATTGCAATATATGCACATATATACCTATATATTGTTTGAATAAGGAATCAGGCCACATATATAGCTAGGAGTATAAGAGATTATGCACTTCTGCCAAAATTGTATTATTAAAAAACTGTTTTATTTTACTTGGCCACAGTGATCACAAACCAATCGAGTTCAAAATCTCTGCTGACAGGAGGAAAATGGCCAGCAAAACTTCAACCCTGGACATGAGGAGAGCAGACTTCAGGCTGCTCAGGGAATTAGTAAGTAAAGTCCCCTAGGAAAACACTTTTTCAGGTGCTGGGTTCCATCAGTGCTGGTTGCTTTTTAAGCCCCACCTCCTAAGGGCACAGGAACAGGAAATTCCTAAATGTTGAAAGTCCAGCAGATGAGGCAGAAGGCCAGCTTGGCTGAGCAGGGATCTTCTTTTGGAGGTAAGGCAAATAAAAGGAAGATGCATGCCCAGTGGAAGCAAGGTCGAATGACATGGGAGGAATTCAGAGATGCTACTTGCCAATTTAGGGAGAAAATTCATGCAGTCAAAGTTCAATTGGAGTCAAAGCTGGGCAGTACTGTGGGGGACAATAAAAATAGCTTTTTAAATATATTAATGGCAAAAGTCAGTGCAGAAATTACATTGGCCTGTTACAGGATGAGGATGGTCACCTCACAAACAGGGACAGAGATAAGGCATAGATGTTTAATGCTTTCTTTGTCTCTGTCTTCAACCCTGATGATGGGCTAAGGGGGTCCCAGTGTCCTGAGCTGGAGGCCCATGTCTGCGAGAATGATAAACTCCCAGTTGACCCTGATGTTGTAAGGGATCTGCTGCTCCACCTAGATCCCTATAAGTCTTTGGGGCCTGATGTGATTCCTCTGAGAAGACTTAAAGGGCTGGTTGATGTCATTGTGAGGCCTCTCTCAATGATTTTTGAATGGTCGGGAATATGGAGGGGTTCCAGCTGACTGGAAGCTGGTGAATGTTGTCCTGATTTTCAAGAAGGGCAAAAAGGAGGACCCCAGAAACTACAGACCTGTCAGTATCACTTTACTGCCTGGTAAAGTAATGGAAAAAATTATTATGGGAGTTATTGAAAAACACCTGGAGGACAACACAGTCATTGATCAAAGACAGCACTTTCCATATATTTTCCATGAGGGGAAAGTCCTACTTGTCAAATCTGATTTCCTTTTATGACAAAGTAACCCACCTAGAATCATAGAAGCATAGAACCCTAGTTGATCAAGGGAAGCCAGTTGATGTAATCTTTTTGGATTTCAGTAAAGTTTTCAATACTGTCTCTCATGGGATCCTTCTGGACAAAATGTCCAGCACACAGCTGGATAAACACATCATGTGATGGGTGAGGAGCTGGCTCACGGGTTGAGCACAGAGGGTAATAGTGACTGGGGTAACATCAGTCTGGTGACCTGTCACTAGTGGAGTTCCACAGGGCTCCATCTTAGGCCTTGTGCTCTTCAACATCTTCATAAATGACTTGGACATAGGACTGGAAGGGATACTAAGCAAGTTGGCAGATGATATAAAATTGTGAGCAGCTCAACAAATTAGAGGACTGGATAATCACCAGCTGTATGAAGTTCAACATGGGGAAGTGCTGGATTCTGCACCTGGGATGAGGAAACCCTGGATGTATGTACAGATGGGGGAATGAGATGCTGGAAGGGGACCTGGGGGTCCTGGTTGATATCAAGTTGAATATGAGTCAGAAATGCCGTGGCAGCCAGGAGGGCCAACTATGCCCTGGGGGGGCATCAGGCAAAGCATCACCAGCCGGTTGAGGGAGGTGATTGTCCTGCTCTACTCTACACTGATGCAGTCTCACCTTGAATATTGTGTACAGTTTTGGTCACTGCAATATAAGAAAGATTTTAAGCTATTAGTGTCCAAAGGAGAGCAACAAAGATGGTGAAGGGCATTGAGGGGAAGCCATATGAGGAACAGCTGAGGTCACTTGGTAAGTTCAGCCTGGAGAAAGAGGAGAGACCTCATCACAGTCTACAACTTCCTTGTGAGGGGAACTCAATGATCTTTGTGGATCCCTTCCAACTCAGAATATTTTGTGATTTTATGAATACTATATTGGGTGTATGTGACAAGGTTTTTGTAGCAGGACAGGAGGTTTTCAGGGGTGGCCTCTGTGGGAAGAGGTGAGGGGCTGCCATGTGCTGGACAGAGCCAATTCCAGATGGCTCCACAACAGCCCCACTGCAGGCCACAGCCAAGCCAATCACTGAACCTGGCGGCACCTTTGTGAAAACCTATCTAAGAAATGACAGAACTCTATCATGCATTGAGAAAAACATGTCGTGGTTTAGGAATGGTACTAAGGTCAGAGAAGGAAGAGGAGGTGCTTCATGTTACCAGAGCAATTATTCATTGCAACAGCAGATATTCATTGCAGCCTATAGAAGACCTTTACTGGAGCAGTTATTTCTTTCCTGAAGGACTGCAGCCTGTAGGAGAGGTCACACAGGAGCAGGGGGAAAGTGCGAGAGGGAATGTCTCAGTTTAACAAGACAGAAATGTTTCATTAGGAGGGCAGGATATGAGAAAGAGCAAGCTTCTCCCTCCGAGCAATTATACCTTCGATATTAAGAGTCTCTAGCCAAAAAGGTGTGGAAAAAAGAAAAAAATAACAGCTCTTTACTAAAGAATATATATATATATATAGGTAACACAACAACAAGCAAAAATCCCGCAGCCAAACTCTCACAAGAAACAATTAAGCACTTTTTTGCCCTTTGGTGCAGTTGTAACCACACGCAGCAGGGGGCGGTGCTGCGCCTCCGGAGGAGCGGAGACTGCAGTTGCTCTCCGATGGTCGGCAGGGGGCGCTGTTGGGCTCTGGTGGCCACCATGTCCGCAGGGCCAGGCTCACGGTAGGCAGCCAAACGGGGACCCCCACCGAAGGGAAAAGGGAGAAGGGGAAAGGGTGATTCCTCCTGTGGACTCACACTGTCAAAGACTGGCTCTGGCTGGAACTCCCCTTCCTTCGTCAATGGGTGTAAACTGCCACCGGCATGGAGAAGGAGGAGGAGGAGGAGGGGGAAGAGCAGCCTTTCCCCTCAAAAATTCCTCCACAGATGGTACCAGCTTCTCTGATGAAATCCGAGGCAAGTCCAGGCAGTAGGCAGAACAGGGTGTGAGGGAACAGAGGCGAACCAGGGCTGAAAGCAGCTAGATGACTTGGCCCAAAAGTAAATGAACCCCGTAGCACTTCTCCTCACACACGGGCGCGCGCACGTGCGCACGCACGCGCACACACACACACACACACATACTCCCTGAGTCAGGGAAAAAGTAAAGTGCTGTCCCCAGAAGAAAAAAACCCTCACCTCTCCCTACAGTCTTCTGAAACCATTAGCTTGGAATTTGGGGCTATGAACCAGTCCTTTTGTGTGTGTGGCTCACTCTGACCATCTCCTCCCCCCTCCTTCACTCAACACATTTCTTTCACAGTGGTAAAGGGAAAAAATTAAAAGCAGGGTTTTTTTCTTTAAAACAAGAGTACCTATGACATTATTCACCCTTAATTTTTTCCCATACCACCACACTCTATCAAATTAAACCTTTGAACTATATATGTACATGCATTATTCTACTTATATACACAATCACAAATATGTAGATACAAATAGAGATACAGGCACAGAGTTATGGACAGTTCACCCGAAGATAAGACCCCCTTGAGGTATACACCAGGTTTCTCCATCTTCCTGCATCACCCACCACGTGCAACCGGGTCCTTGGACAAAAACAATCCCACAAATGGGTTTGCCTTTGCTTGAGGCAGTGTTAATCCAAACTGTTTTACCTAACATACCTCTCATGTGAATTACTGGGACTTTGTCTCCATCTACAGTGTAAAGGGACTCTGACTGGGCAGGGCTGGCTCAATTGAAGGAGCCTCTAGTGTTGACTAGCCCCTTTGTTGAGTAGCCCCCTTAAGTCCTTCCACAGTCTAAATTAGTAGGCATATTTGGGGAAAAGAGAAAAGGTGGATACCAGTCTTTGTGTAACCCAGGATATATATACATAACACAATAATTGTGTTAACTGAAGTGAAGGTAATGAATGTCGTGGTTTTGCCCAGCCGGTCAGCCCCTAGGGATGAGAATGGTTTTGTCCAGGTGAAGTTCCGGACAAGAAACCAATTAAAACTCTCAGTAGCGCCTTTGCTAATTACATCTTTAAGAAAATGGAAGAGAAGGTTTGTGTCGCAGTTGAAATTAAACAGCCATATAGGAAAGGCGGCGGTGGGCCCTGAAGTGGGCCAAGGCCTCCTCCTCCCCCAGCCCTGGGCCGGGGGGGGCAGGTGCAGCATTGAAGCCTCCCTTCTCTCTTGTAAGAGAGTGAAGGAAAGAAAAAAAAGTTTAAAAGACTACTGCTTGGACAGAAACCGCTGCAGAGAAATTCCAGCGAAGAGATAACGAAATGTCCAAGGTCGACGCTGGCAGCCGGAGGAAAGAGAAGAAAGACTCGAAGAGGGGGCTGCTTCTTCCCCCTTTCACTCTCTCTCCCTTCAGTAGGGTAAAGACTGAAAAATAAATCCCTGCTACCTTGTAGAAGTTTGTTGGGGTGAGAAGACCCCCGTGTTGCTTGTGGAAGAGTTTACACTGGAAGAAGTTAATGCATGAAGAAGCCAAGACTTCATGAGAGACCTGAGGTGAGGCAGAGACCTATTGAAGATTTGTGACTCTAAATATGACCCTAAAGGGGATGAGGCTCACGCTGAAGCGAGACGGCTCGGGTGAGATACTGGGATCTGTGTGTGGGATCCATGCTGCTGCTGAAGATTTGTGACCCTGAGAGAACCTCACACTGGAGCAAGAATGGCTTAGGTGAGATGTTGGAATCCATGTGTGTGTGGAATCCGTGCTAGACCCATGCTGAGAAGTCTATCAAGGACTGTTTTCCCATGGGAAGGGACCCCCACAGGAAACAGGGGTGGACTCAAAAGCCATTATCCTCTGTGATCCTGTGGTGAAAATCCATGGTAAGCAAGTGTCCCCTTGCAAGCCCATGGAAGAGAAGACCTTCAGGGCCTAGATAACCCCCAGCCTCCGGTCTTAACCCAGGAGGGGGGTAGGCCCAGCCCTAGAGGCCAACACAAAGTGAGAGAGAGAGATGAAAGAGTTCCAGTTGCAATGACAGTGCTGCAGAATTGCTGAGGAGACCTGGAACTCCGAAAATGAAGAAAAGGACTACTTCTCCTCCTTGGACTGATATAAAGGGGGGGGGGGGGGAGAAGTATTTTTCTGTAAATACATGACACCTTTTACTTAAGTAAAATTATTATAAATATAGTTCTTTAATAGTTTTTATTGTACTAGTAATAAATGCTCATACATTTTTTTCCCCAATCCAGTCTCTTTTGTCTGCATAAACCTTCTCTCAACTAATTAGTAATTGTGTAGGGGATGTAAAAGCAAATTGAGTCAGGGCAAAACCACAACAATGAATAATCAAATACAAATTTCATAGCTATGAATCCTTTTTTGCTGGACTTGGACTTTACACTGTAAAGTCTTCAACATTCAGGTGGAGCCTTCCACCCACCAAGATCTTTGCTTGAGTCAAGAGGGTACTACAGAGAGGGATGGAGTGGTGAGGGGCACCTTTAGGCAAACTTCTGGCCATGTGTAGTGGGTTTCTGTGGCTGGGTTTTGGTAGTGGTGGAGGAGGGGTTCCAGGGCTGGCTTCTGATAGAAACTGATAGAAGCTTCCCCTGTCCCTTGGAGCCAATGCCAGCCAGCTCCAGGATGGGCTTCCTGCCACTGGCCAAGACCAAGCCAATTAGGAGTAATAGTAATGCCTCTGTGATAACATATTTAAGAAAAGAAGGTTGTTGTGCAGAAAGAATTCCAGCCAGGGAAGAGCGGAGTGAGAACATGGGAACAACAAAGTAGACACCAAGATCAGTGCAGAAGGAGGGGGAGGAGGTGCTCCAGGTTTTGGAGTTGTGGCCCCTGCAGCCCGTGGTGAAGACCATGGTGAAGCAGGCTGTCCCCCTGAAGCCCATGGAGGACCATCAGGGTGCAGAGACCCATCTGCAACCTGTGGAGGAGCCCATACTGGAGCAGGTGGATGCATGAAGGAGGCTGTGACCCCGTGGGAAGCCCATGATGGAGCAGGGTCCTGCTGGAGACCTGAAACCCATGGAGAGGGAAGCCCACGCTGGAGCAGGATTTTCTCAGGTAAGACTTGTGGGCCCTGTGGGGGCCCCACGCCAGTACAACTCATTCGTGAAGGACTGCACCTCATGGAGGATTGACCCATGGGACAGCAGTTTTGGAAGAACTGCTGCCTGAGGAATGAGTTCAGGCCGGAGAGGTCCATCAAAGACTGTCTCCTGTGGGAGGGACCTCACGGGAGCAGGGGAAGGACTCCTCTCTCTGAGCAGCAGCAGCAGAAACAACAACTGACTGCAACCCCCATTCCCCATCCCCCTGCACTGCTGCGGAGGAGGAGGGAGAACATGGAAGGAATGAGGGGTGGGGGTAAGGTGTTTTTTAAGACTGTTTTATTTCTCACTCTTTGGCTCTTATCCTGTTAGTAATAAATTTAAGTACTATCCCCACTTTGAGTCTGTTTTGCCTGTGAAGGTAATCAGTAACTGACCTCTCCCAGCTGTTATCTCAACTCATGAATCCTTAGCTGTTTTGTTTTTTTTTTTTCTCTCCTCTGTCCAGTTGCAGAGGGAGAGTGAGAGAGTGGCTTTAGTGGGTACCTGGCAGCCGGCCCGGGTCAACCCACTACACCATGGTTATCAGGGTGTGGTCTGTGTACCCCCACTTGGTGTAATGGTGGTCTAGCCAGGGCTCCTTGGTGGTCTGGTGAGTTAAATATTTTGAGGAAAGCAACAGAGGCAGTAGGTGGGAAAGGAGAAGGTGTGTATAAAAAATTGCCTATCTTTTATAATGCCTTGGGGAAAAGCCTAGTTTTATGTTGGCATATGACATTCTGCTTTTAAAAGCTTATCTAATACCTACATTTGTATTTAGCTTGTTGATTGCAGCCTCTAAAATAATTGATAGGAGAAATAGAAACTTTACTCATAGAATCCTGGAATGCCCAAATAAGGAACAATATAATCTTAGAGAAGTCCTCAAGAATTGGATAAGGGATGTAACTCCAACAAACAGGATGTAACCTAAGCTCTGTGTACCCAGATAAAATAAAGAATAAACGTTACAGTTTTTGGTGATGAAACACAATGATCCTGTGCCTGCTCCAGAACTGAGGTCAAGATGGTGAAGAAGACCCGGAAGGAGTGTGACTATGTAAAGCAAACAAATGAATATGTCTTAAGCAAGAATATCTAATGAATATGTAAACAGTATGTGTAATAAAAAGCCTTGTCCATCTGTCATTTGGCATGTTTGATTAGAGGAGCTATCCTCCAAACATCCAGCGTGCTGAATAAAGAAGAATGGTTTTTAATACCTACATATTGGTTTTAAGAAGTTTGTTTCTGGAGCTTTGCAGTATCATAATACTTACTAAAAAATACTTGAAAAGTATAAGAAAGAAGAATACCAAACAAATAGCAAACATAATATTTAATAAATATTTAAATAAAAACTAGAGCAAGAAACTTAAAGTAAAAATTTTAAAAATCCAGGAGAATTGTAAAAATAAGGAGTTTCTAGAGAAGGGGGTTGGTTGCAGGGGGAGACATAATATTATTTCTTCTGCACACTATTAGTTTTACTGACCTCAGGGTACGGTCCAAAGAGTGAAAGAAGAACAGGAAGCAGCACCAATCCATTGAGAACTCCCAAAATGGTTAAGATTGTCAAAACAGCAAAAAAATACCTAAATTAGGGTTTAAAGAGGTGGGAGGGGGAAGAGAAGAGGCACAAATAGTGTGAGAAATAAGGGATTAAATACTAAAGCTAATTAAAAAATACATATATTACATTAAATATCAACTATTATTAATATTGTCCTAAATAATTATATCAACACATAGGTTATTTTGCTTTTGTTCTTTTTACCTTTTGGATTAGAGAATGTACATCACATAACTCAAAGTATTACTTGATAAAAGAAAGAAAGACAATTAAACTTATTAATTTTCCAGAATCTGGCAGCATGTGATGTTATTTATGAATAAGTTACACAAATACAAAAATATGGAATGTGCACTGAATATCTGAATGGATCAAAAGAACAAATCCAATGAAAAAAGGGCCTCCATTAAAGAATATTAAGTAGAAGAAAACAAATGAAGTGAAGGTTGCCAAAGTTAAAAAATTTAGCCTAGAAGGGAAGGAAGCTCACTTCTCACAGCAGCTAATACAGTGTGAAATACTTCTGCATCTTACAGTGGAATCTGTAATAAAATTTCCAATGTAAGGTAAGGCTTTCCCTAGCTGTTCATGAAACTCAACTTTTGACCTAAAATTCTGTGAGTTCCAGATTTATGAAATAGCTCAAATTGCAGCCTTTTTACAGCACAAGAACCATCTTCCTGCAAAGAAAATGCCACCCATTCTATACTAAGTTTCAGCATCTTACTGAGTAATAGCACTCCACGATAGCAGAATTGCATTGCAGGCTAACCTTTTGTTGAACAATTCAATATCTCTGAATACTGTTGTTTTGTGTCAGTGTATTGGGTGTGGCTGAGATGGAGTTCATTTCCCCACAGGAGCCCAACTAAAAGAATTTTTACCTACCTTATTTCCTCAGCACCAATAAAATAAAATTTCTGCAAATCTGAGCAGTTTCAGCACGTGTAGTGGTTGCTCTGAAGGGAAAAAACCTGAAAAAACCAATGCCCCCTTTCCTCCTCCTTCCCTTAGCTTTTATATCTGAGCTGACATAGCTCAGTTAGTTAGAGCATAGTGCTAATAACACCAAGACCATGGTTTTGATCCCTGCACAGGCCATTCACTTAAGAGTTGGACTTGATGATCATTGTGGGTCCCTTCCAACTCAGAATATTCTGTGATTCTGTGACATCATATGCTATGGAATATCCCTTTGGTTAGTTTGGGTCAGCTGGTTATTTGTGTCCTCTCCCAGGATCTTGCCCACCCTTGATGGAGGCGGGGGGGAATGTTGGAAGACAGCCCTGATGCTGTGCCAGCACTGCTCAGCAGTAGCCAAAACACTGGTGCGTTCTCCTTTCTAGCTACCGATGAAGAGCACAGCACTGTGAGGGCTGCTATGGGGAAATGAACTCCAGCTCAGCCAGACCCAATACATATGTATACATGTAACACTGGAGGCGGGAGAGGAACATTTCACACATACATACACACACACACCCCACTGGATGCATTGCAAGAGGATTAGGGATAATATCAGAAACCACAGGGTAAAGCTCAGCAGAAGCAGTGGGGACAGTAAAGGCAATCAGGGGTCAAACAACAAGCGATACAAAGGAAGGAGTATAGGGTGGTGCAGAGATCAACTCTGTAGGTGCCTTGGTTAAATTACTCACAATTGCTGCAGTTAAAGTTCTTCCTCTGTTTTCATACTTGCTTTCAACCATCATCTTTATGGTGGTCAAATGCCCAATCATCCCATACATACCAATAATAAATGGGTGCTGGGAATTGCCTTCCAGACAACTTCACAAAAAGGTTCTACTGTAAACATCTAACATTAGCATAATCAAGAATATTATAGCTCTGACACCTTGCTGTATACAGTTTCTGTTAATTTACTTAATATTCCGCATTCTTGGACTAATCTATCCCTCATGGAAGTTTGGGGTCATCTTCACCCACTATAACAATGCTCAGTCTCTGATATTTTATTTTATTTTCTAAACAACAAAAACTAAAGTCAGATTGAGCTAGAAAACAAGAAACTGATAGGCAAAAAAAGTAAAATAAAAGAATCTGAAAAGTTGAAATGCTCATTTTATATGCTAACTGAATATCCACTACAAATTTTGAATGAAGGGCTGCTACAGATTTCCATTTGCCATGATACAAAAGCCTGCTTGCCAAATCTTTTAAGTAGGAAAGAAGCACAGCAAATATAGACTTGCAAATTTAGGCTAAATCTATGAGCAACCTATATGTCAGTGTGTTCCATCCCTTACAAGATCAGGTCTGAAAAGAATAATTCTACCTAATTTCCTAAATAAAATACAATACAATACAATACAATAAAATAAAATATGCTGATGTGAAAAAATACAAGTTCTATTTCAGGGAGTGCAATATCTGTATAGTAATAATCCCCATGTAGGTTTAATGTATTTAGACCTAGGTGTAAGCCTCCTACTACCTGCTTTCTGCAAATCTGAGCAGCTGAGGGAACTGGGGATGTTTAACCTGGAGAAAAGGAGGCTCAGGGGAGACCTTATCGCTCTCTACAACTACCTGAAAGAAGGTTGTAGCCAGGTGGGCCAGGCAAATAGTGACAGGACAAGAGGACACAGCTGTGCCAGGGGAGGTTCAGGTTGGACATCAGGAAGAATTTCTTCACAGAAAGGGTTGTTAAGCATTGGAACGAGCTGCCCAGGGAGGTGGTGGTGTCACCATCCCTAGAAATGTTCAAGAAATGACTGGACAAAGCACTTAGTGCCGCGGTCTAGTTGACAAGGTGGTGATCGGTCAAAAGTTGGACTCTATGATCTTGGAGGTCTTTTGCAACCTAAATGATTCTGTGATTCCATGAAATCTCTTACATACATAAACAAAAAATCCTGATGAGATTTAGCAGTCATTCTCTCATTCCCTGCCTCTGACATTTACTGTGTGCAGTTTTGGGCACCACAATATAAAAAAGACATTAAGCTATTAGAGAGCGTCCAAAGGAGGGACATGAGGATGGTGAAGGGTCTGGAGGAGAAGCCTTATGAGGAGCAGCTGAGGTCACTTGTTTTGTTCAGACTGGAGGAGACTGAGGGGAGACCTCATTGCGGTCTTCAACATCCTCACAAGGGGAAGCGGAGGGGCAGGCACTGATCTCTTCACTCTCGTGACCAGTGACAGGACTAGAGGAAACAGCATGAAGCTGAGTCAGGGGAGGTTTAGGTTGGATATCAGGAAAAGATTTTTCACCCAGAGGGTGGTCGAGCACTGGAACAGGCTCCCCAGGGAAGCGTTCACAGCACCGAGCCTGTCTGAGTTCAAGAAGTGTTTGGACAATGCTCTCAGGCACGTGGCGTGATTCTTGGGGTGTCCTGTGTAGGACCAGGAGTTGGACTTGATGAACCTGATGGGTTCCTTCCAACTCAGCATATTCTATGATTCTATGATTTTGTTGGTGGTGGTGTCAAATGGATGTCAGCTAAGTCTGATCCCCTATCCAGTTTATGTTTACTTTAGCAGTTATGTCATCTTTCAGACCATTTTTATTTGGCCCAATTCTACCTCAGTTCTGTTTTAGGTCTATGATTTAGTTTTGGGGTTTTTTTTTGTGCTGCAGTTTGCCACAAAGAACCTGTGTCACTTCTAAGATTAGTGATTTTGCAGAGCTCCACTGGTTATTTGGAATGGATTAGGTTCTGTTTCATTGTACTTCTCAAATTCCCCTCAAAAGAAAAAATTTGCTCTCCTCTCATACTTGATGAATTCACATTCATAATTAAATTCACGAAAAACTGTGCCTGTAGTTCTAAACAGAAGAGCCTTTGGACTTTGCTTTACAGAATTTTAATATTGAAGTTCTATGTCCATACTTATAGTTCCCTAGCTCCCAAACAGGGCTTTTTCCCTCACCCATTTATAAATTGCTGTAAACCTCATAGAAAGATACCAGGAGAAGGCCCAGAGAGAGCTGACTCCATGTGTCCTTTCCAGGCAAATCATTGCGCATATGAAAAATCTGGCAGACCTGACCTATATCTGGAAGGTTAAAGGTAAAATCTAACTAATATTGGACAATACTAGCTGCTTCAAACTGGCTTAATTCCAGGATTAGAAAACTTTGCTAAAGAGGGCCATGTTTGTTTCCTTTCATGCTGGGAGTCAGAGTTTCCTGGAACAGATCTTAATACCAGCAATGAAAATACTACTATGTCCAGCATGTGACAAGGAGTTAATAGAACTCCTTGGGAAAACAGGACCATGATGTAAAAGCATGCTTGACACACCATACAGGGTAATAAAATGACAGATGCACTGAAATGTCTAAATAGTAAAAGTGCACTTATTTTTATTAAAAAAAAAAAAAAGTCAAAGCATGCAAATGCTTTACCTGACAATAAAATCAAACTCTGATCCTGCAAGCATTAACACTCCAAACAGAGTGGACACAGCTCCATCCAACACTGGTGCAAACATATGTTCCAACGCAAGGACAGCCCTACGGTTCTTGTCTCCTACGGCAGTTAAAAATGCCTGTAAAACAATGAAATCCATTTCATTAGGGAGACATGTACAGTCTTTCAAACAGCCTCTCTCTTAGTATGCAGTTTTTCACCAGTTAATTACTTCAATTTACAGTCCATTAAAGTATCTCTATAGCTGGTTAGACTTCAAGACAAGGTCTGATTGTGCAGTCGTACCATATAGCTGCTGCTGAAGTCACATGACCAGAGTAAGCATTGATTACAGTCAGAGCCGTAGTAATAATTTTGGAAACAATGCACGCCTACACCAGCAGGCTTTTCACTTGTTTCTTGGTTTGCTTGTTTCCACACGCAAAGAATTCATTTTATAGTAAAAGCACCTCAGGTGTAAAAATTATAGGGTTATTCTTGTCACTCTCACGAGGGCATAGCTTCCATGACCATCATGAGAACTTTGCTGTAAAACTAGCCAACACCGATTCAGGTTTCCCTGACTACATTTGGAACAGACCAGGGACTTGTAACTTTTGCTCACGCACACAGTCACATCCATGGTAGCATTTACTAGTGGATCAGGTCTTTCTGTCACTTCACACAGAAGTGTCCACTGATACAGTGCATTCCTCCTCACAGGTCTGAGGATCCACACTATCAGATATTATACACAATAAGCACTCAACTGATGGAAAGTTTCCAGTGTATTCAACAGGACCAGGATAAAGTAACACTGCTAAGTCGTGTGCTGCTTTTTTGCATTCCTATTTTGCTCAAGATGGATGTTTTTGCAACTTTTTCTACTTCAGACCTAGCAGCACTATATATGCCCAACTGTGTACCTCATCTACAACATGTAGATGCCAGGTGGGGCCAGCTGTCCCCGCAGCCAGTTCAAACCTTGGGAAGCCACATATAACCAGACCCTAGGGAGCTCCAGCAACCAGGAGCGATGCAAACAGGGCATGCAAACAGGGAGTGTCATCTGAGATGAGCAGTGTGGAAGTTTGCATTGAAGGGCACCTGAAAAGGGCAGTGCACTCTACCAGTTGCTCTGCTCACTCACGGTCTTCGGCCGTGGCCCCAATGATCATCCCAACTAGCTGTTGGCTAGTACCCCACAGCTTGAGGTCTCCAGGAAATTAGAAGGGCTTATTAGGCAGTGCTTTGGGCTCATCGGAAGCATGGTGGCAGAGACCTGGTGAGGGCTGTGCTCTGCAGCAGCCAGGGACCATCTACCCAGCCAGGTGTCGTGGGTTTACTTTGGGCCAATTTTCTCTCACCCCCCACACAATTGCTATAAGTTGAGAGAAGGTTTATGCAGACAAAAGAGATCTGATGTGGGGAGAATAATATTAGGACTTATTACTAGCAAGATAAAAACTAAAGAACTAGATATACAACAATTCTAACTAGGCAAAAGTGCTATGTATTTACAGAAGTACCCCTCCCGCCTTGTATCAGTTTAGGAGGGGAGCTACAGGTCTTCTAAATAATTTCGCAGCACTTGAAAGTTCCTCTTCTATTATCTCTAGGACGACAGCTCCGATTCGTCGCAGCTGGAACTGTCTTTCTCTCTCTCTCTCTCTCTCTCTCTCCTATGTCAACCTCAGGGCTGGGCTGGGCCCACCCTCTCCTGGGTTAAGACCGGAGGCTGGGGGTTACCCAGGCCTTGTGGGGGCCTCCATGGACTGCAAGGGGACACTTGCCTTACCATGGTCTTCGCCACAGTTACAGGGGCTTTTGAGTCCACCCCTGTTTCTTGTGGGGTCCCTCCTCGTGAGAGACAGTCCTCGAGGGACCTCTCTAGCGTGAGTCCACCTTCGGACAACAGCTCTTCCATTCTCTGCTGTCCCTTAGGGTCACAAATTCAGCTGCACCAGCATGGATCCCTCGCTGGGATCACAAGTCCTACCCGGGATGACTTGCTCCAGCGTAGGTCTCTCTCTCCATGGGCCACAGGTCTCCAGCAGGACTCTGTTTCATCTTAGGTCTCCCACAGGGTCACAGCCTTCTTGTGCACTCACATGCATTCACCTGCTTCAGCACGGACTCCTTCATGAGCTGCAGGGGGTCTCCTCACTCAGTAATCTTCCACAGACGGCAGGGGTTTTTAGTTTTCAGTCTTTTCCCTGCTGAAGGGAGAGAAAGGGGGGAGAGAAGGATCCCCCTCCTCCTCGGGCCTCTATTCTCTCTCCTCCGGTTGCCAGCTTTGACCTTGGAGGTTGCGCTATCTCTCTTCCTGGAATTCCTTCTGCAGCACGTCTTGTCCTGGCAGTTTTCTTCTCTAGAGTTTTTCTCCACTCTGTTACACGTCTTGGTCAGGGGGGCTTCAGTGCCACACCTGCCCCCGGCCCAGGGTCGGGGGGAGGAGGGAGGCCTGGCCCACACCTGGGGCCTGCCACCTCCCCCTACATGGCTCCTAATTTCTTCTGCACCACACAGCTTCTCTTCCGTTTTCTTAAATATGTAATTGGCAGAGGCGTTACTAAAACTTTTGATTGTCTTTGCTCTGGAAATCCACCTGGAAAAAACTATTTTCAGCCCCAGGGGGGCTGGTCAGCAAACCCACGACACCAGGCTAGCCTGGGATGAGTGGAGGCAGCCACCCAGACAGAGCTTCCTATCATGGAAGCTGCTGTCCAGGTGGAGGGCTGTAAAGTCTGTACCCCACACCTCTGGTTAGAGGAGGGTGCAAGCTCCACCTGTGGAAGGTGTGCTCTGGTGGAGTCACTCAGGCAGCAGGTGGAGGAGTTGAAGGAGGGAGTCAGCAGGTTACGCTCTATTAGGAAGGGGAAACAAGAAATAGATAATTATTTGAGACTTTGCAAGAAGAAATACTAGGACCCCTTGGCACTGACCTCCAAGGACTACCAGGCAGAGCGTCAACAGCGAACAAACAGCACTTTGGCGAAGGAGGCACCATGGTCTCTGGTGACTTGTGCTGTGGGGTCTGGTTACACCAGGTGCTGCAAAGCATCCTGGGAGTTGTAGTTCTAAGTACTCTGTCACACATGCTCTGTTGAATGCTTGTATGGGATTGGCTTAAGTTACCTGTGTGACGTGGCAGCATTTGGAACTGCTATATAAGCCAGGACTCCTGGAATAAACTCTCTCTCTCTTGTTACACATCACGTTGGTGTCGCTATGGTCCCCACGGGACTTATTATTTATTATATTAATAACTGCTACATTGTGCCATCAGGATATCACTTCTCACCCCTGTTTCCTTGTATGTACCAACCAGCAACAGATATGAAGTCTTGGCAGTGGGTGAAGCCAATGAACAAGTCTCACAGGGAGAAACTGCACCAGTTGCACACACTACAAACGGCAAAAGAAAGCGCCGAATGCTAGTAGCAGGTGAATCTCTGTTGAGAGGCACTGAGGCACACGCATCAGCTGTCCTGATATACAGTCAAGGGAAGTTTGCTGTTTGCCAGGAGCCAAGATCCAGGATGTCACAGAGAGGCCGCCACAATTGGCTAAAAGCACAGCCTTCTTTTCCACATGGGCACCAAAGACATGGTAAAGCATAGCCTGGGCAAGATCAAGCAGGACTTGAGAGCTCTGGGGGCGCAAGTGAAGGGGACAGGGGCCCAAGCAATCTTCTCCTCTGCCTTGTCAGTCGGGGATAAGGGTGTGGGCAGAAGTCGACACATCATGCAGATCAACACCTGGTTTGGTGGCTGGTGTTGTCCCTAGTGTCCCCTAGGCTTCTATGATCATGGGACGTTCTTCGATGAATACAGACTATTGGGGAGAGATGGGATCCACCTATCTAGAAGAGACAGGGGAATCTTTACTGGCAGATTGGTTGACTTAATGAATCGTGTTTTAAACTAAGGAACTTGGGGGGTGGGGGTAGGGCAGTGTCCAAAGCTGTAACACTTGTGTACTCACAAGCAACAGGGTGGATGAGCACACCTACCAGAGCAGTGAGGAATGCTCCTCAACCCTCCACAAAGATGAGACAGCCAACGGTCCAACTGAAATGTCCTTATAGCAATGCACGCAGCAGGGGTAACAAACAGGAGGAGCTGGAAGCCACTGTGCAGCTGGAAAGCTATGATCTGGTCGCTATCACTGAAACTTGGTGGGATGAATGACATGATTGGAGTGCTGCAGTCGATGGCTACAAACTGCTCACGAGAGCCAGGCAAGGAATCATAAAATATTAGAATCGTTACGGTTGGAAAAGACCTTTAAGATCATCAAGTCCAACCATCGACCTGGGACCACCACCACATGCACCACTAAACCATGTCCTCAAGTGCCATATCCACATGTTTTTTGAACACTTCCAGGGATGGTGACTCTACCACTTCCCCGGGAAATCTGTTCCAACTCTTTCTGTGGAGAAATTTTTCCAAATATCCAATCTAAATCCTCCCCATGCGCAACTTGAGGCCATTTTCTATTGTCCTGTCACTTGTTACCTGGGAGAAGAGATCAACCCCCACCTCACTACAACCTCCTTTCATGTAGTTGTAGAGGGTGATAAGGTCTCCCTTGAGCCTCCTTTTCTCCAGGCTAAACAACCCCAGCTCCCTCAACTGCTCCTCAAAGACTTGTGCTCCATCCCCTTCATCAGCTTTGTTGCCCTTCTCTGGACTCGCTCCAGTGCATCAATGTCTTTCTTTTAGTGAGGGGCCCAAAACTGAACACAGCATTCGAGGTGCGACCTCACCAGTGCTGAGTACAGGGGGAGAATCACTTCCCTAGCTCTGCTGGCCACACTATTTCTGATACAAGCGAGGACGCCGTTGGCCCTCTTGGTCACCTGGGCACACTGCTGCCTCATGTTCAGGAAGGAGGGGTGGGGAGGAGGGATTGCCCTCTATGTGAAAAAAATGGATTAATTGCACAAAGCTGTCTTTGAAAACCAGCAGTACACAGGTTGAGAGCTTATGGGTGAAAATTAGAGACCAAGCCAACAGAGGAAATCTCGTGGTTGGTGTTTACTACAGGCCACCTTATCAAGGGGAGGATTTTGATGAAGCATTCTGGCTTCAACTATAGGAAGCATCATGACTCTGATCCTGCTGGGGGACT